TGGTTTTTGGTTTGTTTTCCACCAAGCCTGTTTTTGGTTTCAGAACAGAACACTAAATGTAGATTATAAACTCAGTGTTATTTACTTATACAGTCTTAGATTTAAAATGGTGCCAGTTAATTTCCTACTGACTTTTGTGATTTAGGATTGTATATTTAGATACCTTAGCAGCCCAAGCCTGTTTTCAAAATTCATTTAGAAGCTAGAATTCAGTCTGACATGAGAGATTCATACTGTGAGATCTGAAGATCAAATATATTTTGCTTACTACTTATTACTGTTTTTCTGCTCTTTGCATGATATTGCTTATCCAAAAAAAAAATAGCACAATGCATTTATATGTATTTTCTTTAATATTGATGTTCTTTGTGAATGTTTCATTTCTCAATATGGGTAACATGATCTGTTCTCCACACAAGTCCTAAAACTAGATAAAGAGAACTCAGTAAAACAAATGAATCAAAAACATTATACTTGTTTATTTATTTATTGAGGAAAATGATCCCAAGCTACAGACTCTTAAGCACCACTGTATATATCATTTAAAGTACTAGAGTAGCTGACAAGTGTGTTAACAACAGTTCAAGTGTTAATTTAATCAAATGAGTAGTTGATTTGTGCTGAAAGCAGCAATACCAGTTGAGGGCTAAAGTTAAATACCTTGAGTACAAATTCAAAAGCTTACCTGAAAATATTTTAGGCGGTGGGAAAAAGTATCCCAGAAAGTAAAGATTAAATTGTTATTGGTATTTTAGAATATTAAAGGATATAATAAAATGGTCACCACATTAATAAATAACTGGTTTCAAAATAGTGTCACCATTACTTTGGAACGGAATAGAAGACGACAAGTTTTGAGAAGAAGTTGCAGGAAAGTAGATTCAGAGAAAAGGAATTGAAGCCAGGGTATAGTATAGGCTAGAAGATCATAATTTGGCTTTGAGGAAGGAATTTGGTCGAAATAAGGAGAAACCTGGCCTTTGTTTATATGTTTATTATATTTATCTCCCACCTTTATTTTGTACAACTCAAGGAAGTGTACATTATGCTCTCTCTTTCCTGTTTTTCCTGTAGCAACAACCTTGTGAGGTGGATTGGTCTGTGATACTGGCATACAGGTAGTTCCTGGTTTAAGAATGACTTCTGTTCCCAAGGTCTATCCTTAAGTCAAATTTTTATGTAAGCTGGAAAACAGTGGTATTGTATAATACTGTATAAGTAGTATTATGTAATGAACTCGAGCCATTATGTATTTAACAGTAGGCTCTGTTTTTAACTATGGGTTATCTGTAAACCAGGCATCTTAACCCAGGGACTACCGGTAATTCCAAAAAACTACACCTACATTTTCTGTTTCTCAGTCCCATGCATATTTTTATCCATGTTTTGTTCTATCTAATTATTTCTTATTGAATATTTCAAATTCTTTTATTTTGCTTTCTGATTTTTATGGTAATGAATGGGCAAGAATTTTATATCTGAGACCTGTAAGATGAAAAAGAAGGATGCTTTGGGCTTTAGGTTCCTCTGTTCCCTAAAGTCTGCATGCATTCTTAGCACTTCTATGGAGAGGTATCCCCTCCACCAAGAAGCTGTAGTATCACAGATTGCCTCAGCTGTGGCTACTGCAGTGGCTGCTCAGATTGTTTCAGAGCAAACCTGACGTGTTTATTTTTATCTTCAATGCTTTAAGGTTAGATATTGTGTGATATTGCTATGATGCTCTTGGGAACCATGACATGGCCCTTTAGAGTAGCTAGGCTTGTACTTTTCTTCCACTTAACAACACAGTAGCTCCTCTGAGCTATTCTTAGGACAGTTATTTTGGACTTGCAAAGTAATGTCACTGCTTTTCAGTTCTATCTATCTATCTATCTATCTAGCTATCTAGCTATTAATTTTTTTACAACTTTAAATAAATTATTATTACAGTTAACTATAATAGTTCACCACTCTATTACCTATTCCTACAACAATGTAATTCATTTTTCAATGTTATGCATATTTATTTATATTTTCCTCATTTTGATTCTTCTCCGTATTACCACATACTGTTAGACTAGTACAGTGCAGTTTACTTGAGGCTACTTTTGAAGACCACTCTGAAACTGCAGTTGGTATAGAAGTCAGTGGCCCACTTATTGGCAAATGAAAACTTTCATAGTGACATAACACCTGTGCTGTAGGCCCTGCATTAGCTTGGTGCAATTCAAAGTGCTAGTTTTCTGGTGCAATTCAAAGTGCTAGTTTTTACTTACGAAGCCTTACATGGCTTGATTCCCAAGTGTCTTCAGAATCACCATCTCGAAGTGGAATTGACCCATCCAGTGCATTTTATTTGAGGAAGTAATTAATCATTCTCCACTTGAGGGAGATTAGGCAGGCCATGATGCATAAACAGTGTTTCTCAGTTGTGGTCTCTGTTTAATGGCCCTCCCAATGTTTGATTAGCACTACTCTGACAACTTTTTGAAAACTGGTTAAAACCAAATTTTTAAGAAAGTATTTGTAGGATAATGAGCTGTCAACATCGGGGTTAGTAGAGTATAATTGTAGTTTTATAAAATTGAGTTTATTTTAATGTTGTTGAGATGCTAACTGGTGGGAATGCAGAAGTGTACAAAATAAATGAATAAGTGAATCTCACTTAACCTGTAAGAGAGAGAACAATTGATAATAAAAGAATAGAGAAAATTTACCTGGTTTATGTTGAATAAAAAAATCATATTCTCAGTCAAGAAAACAATAATTGTTTATTTACAATGCGTGTCCAATACATAAAAGATGATATTAAATATATCATTAAATATAAAACAGTGATATAAAATAACAATAAAATAAAGCTTATACAGAAAGGTTTGAATTAATTGTGTAATGGAAGCACCAGATAATTTCTGCAAGGCATGTCTACTGTTAAAAATTTAGCAATCTTGTTGCAATTGGGACTGGAATTTCCATCACGAAGTGATGCAGTCATAAAGCATGACTTCACGTGACTATACCACTTAGCAACAGAAATTCAAGTACTTCTGGATGCCATTGTTAAGCTAATTACCACAGGTCATTAAGCGAGAACATCATGTGGTCATCATCTCCTCCTGGCTTCTCCATTGACTTTGCTTATCACAAATGGTGATCACATGACTGTAGGGACCCTGCGACCGATCTAAGTATGAGGACCAGTTGTAACTACCACTCATTCAGCACTGTCGTAAGTTTGAACAGTTGCTGAATGAATGATTGTTGAACAAGGACCACCTGTAAAAGCTGAAGTTTGATTGCCTAGGAGAAAAAAGATAATCTGCTTGGAGGAGTAATTTAGATTTCTAACAATTGGTGTTATGAATTCTGTCCTACATTTATTGCATAGAGGCACTCTAATTGTGAATGTGAAACAGACTGAACTTCTATATTAGAACATATACAAGTGTGATTTTCATAGGAAATACTGATATATCTACCAGTTGTGGCCCTCATAGGTAATTTGCTGATTTGGATGAAGTTGAAGTGCCTGCTGTGTGAAGTGTAGGAAATGTTATAAAAATATCTGGTGGTTACTGAGCTGTAATGGAGATGGAAAATTTGGTTCTATCAGGTCTAGGTCCCATATCCTCTGCTGCCTAGGTAACTATGGCTTTTTCAGGAGTGAGGCCAATTAATGCTGGAAGAGAAAAGTTGCAGTAAGCTAAATTGAGATTGATTTTCTTCTTAGGGAAGATTGAAATGGAGAAATGGACCAAAGATATTCCCCAAAGAATTTGTTTCAACCAGTATGATGTGACAGAGCCTCATGTGAGCTCTTAAGGAAATGCAGCCCAATTCCAGCCAGATAAGCAAGTTAAGGAATAAGGAACTTGAGTTATAGTCTTTAAAAACTCCTATTAATAGCCTACAGTGTTTTCTTCCTTTCCCCCAAAATCCTTTTTGCATATAGAGGAGACCTACATCTTGCTTTAATCTTGTCCCGCACCCCCAAATTATTGCTACCACAGCTTAAAAGTCCTTTTTAAGGACTTAACCCAGGGAATGGAACATCAGCTGTGGCCAAGATGAGTAGAAGTGATTTATCATTTATTTATCTTATGAAGATTTATGTTCTGAAGCAATGAGAATTGAGCGTCTATGCACGTACCCACCCACACATATATTTTGGAAGGCCAACATTTTCAACAGAAGATAATGCTTTGGTTTCTTTTTTAGACTGTGATAGCAACAATTTGTGGAAATGCAAGGGGGAAGGGAAAAACATTGGATGCCAGACATGATTGCCCTCTAAAAGCAACAAGGGTTTTGTAGAGGTAGGGCTTTGCACAGTCTGGGAGTTTGTCCATATAGAAAAGCATGAGATGCAGTTGTTGCTATACTCAAAAGGTTTTAAAAAAAAGATAGAGATAGATGGAATCTCTGTGGTTGTTTCGAACATTCTTATAGTAATACACAGTTCAAAGTTTTTATAGCATTTTTAACTATCAGAACTATGATATTAAAAAAAAATCTAAATGTAAAAAAAATTACAGTGGGAAAAATACATCTGAGCTTAAAAGCCTGGGAAAACTAAGTGTTGTACTAGCATAGAATTATAGAACTAGAAGGGACACTTTATTAGGTGCCTTAGCTGAAAAAACCCACTTCTTGGTTATACATTTCACTTCATAAAATGGGGCATCAGGAGGATGTATCTATCAGGAGGATCTCTTGCCTCACTTCATAAATAAATCTGATTTGTCATTATTCTGCCATCTGGCAAACATAGTTGAACATTCTTTAGTCTGTGAATTTAAATGTTTTGCAGAACAGTTGATATTTATGCTTATTTTAATTTTGTATTTATTTAAAAAAATCATATCATTCAAAATGTGAGAAATTGAATTGAATTTTTTCTCCTTCCTGTTTTGAATCAAATCCAAAGCAAATGTTGTTTTGAAAATGGTTTAGAGTTGGATTTATACGGGTTGTTCTTCATAGTAAATAATCAATGTGTTTGATATTCCTCTTTCCAGATTTTCCACACTCTGCCTGATACTTATTTCCCTGAGTCAACCCCTGTGTCAATCTCTCCTCCAAATGCCCCACCGCGACAATCAAGACGACAGGGCCAACGTAATAAGAGGCCCGTTGCTGTATATAATCTCTGTCTGGAGCTGGATGACAGTAAGATGTTCATTATATGTTCTGCCTTGGCAACAGTGGAGTTGCAGTATATCTTCTGTCATCAGGGCAGTCTACAGTAGCTTTCCATTTTATTATTTTTGTTTCTAAAAATTAGAAAATGGAGGGAAGAATCTGACAGAGTGCATTTTTATAACATACTATGTACCTAACTTAAGGAGAACTTATATGCTTTAACAATGCACTGAATATTTTAGCTAAATCTATTTGACTTCTGACAAGAATAATAAATTGCAAGATAAATGGAATAAGATACGAACCAAAAGCAAAGCCACTCTTCCATGAGTTTGAAGAGATAATCACTTGAATTTCATTTTATCAAGGCTAAAAAGACAACTCTAATAGTACCAATATTGATAGCCACTAAACATCAGGTGTTTAAACATTTGCATATATGTATGTGGGTTATCAAATGAGAAAAAATAAAATTCATTGCACAAATAAGATGTATCAGTTCTTCAGGCTAGAAAGATTACATTTGCATTTTTTTCCATTAAAAAAAAAACTTTATTTAACAATGATATACCATATACTGTACACACATAAAAATATAGATAGAGATACATATATTCATTTGCCTCTTAAGAAATTCATCAGCAGTACTATGTGCTGCTATTATTATTATTACTATTATTATTATGCATTTTTATAAATCCCGGGCATTTTTCCAAAGTTGGGTATTTGAATTTAGTAATTTGTTTTAGCATTTTCAGTATTTTTTTTTAATTTTTTCCTATATAAATTAATTACAAATCTACATAAAGAAAAAGGGGCTCAATACCCAGAAACATTGTGGGTGACTTAATTTTAGGAATATGTAAATAGATGAAATGCATCAACAGTTTATAATGGTTTAGTTACTTAATCAGATTCATTTTTTGATGGACAAATGGTGCAAGCAAGTTGTGAGCATGTAATAAATCTGTCAGCTTTTATATATAAATACAGGTGATGCCTATTGTCTCCTATACATTTCATTTTGTCTTTAAATAGCAGATCCAACTTGCCTCCCAGAAAATCTGTATATATGTACGTGTGTGTGTGTGTGTGTGTGTGTGTGTGTGTACATATGGAGTAGGAAAAATGCTAGATATATGATGGTGTGTTTTTAAAGATTGTACTGTCATAAGTGTTTAAAAGAAATAGGTTTTAAAAATAGGTTCTCCACTGAACTTGTTGGAACCACCATAAACTTCCAGCAAGACATCTGTAGTTCTGTTGGAGCAAGAATAACAACCCAAAAAAGCATGGTGACATCTTAAAAACTATGTTATTTGTCATGGCATGAAAGCTCATTCCATAATAAATCTGTTAATCTTTAATTTTCCATAATACTCTTTGTTCATTTTTTAATTAAGGTATCACCTTTCAAGGCAACTTCACTTGCTTGCCATAAGCTCTGAAGTTAAATTCCAATATTTTGAGGATGCCAATAAAAACCCAACAATACTTTGGGAACAATAAGTGGTCTATCACTATTCAGACTTTTAGACATCTTAAAACAGGATCAGGCTAGGGATTTTAAGCTGTTGTTAATAAAATTGTTAATAGCAACATTGAAATTCCCATTGAGTTTCTTCAGCAATGTCAGATGGCATGTTAAATTCTTTGTACAACCACAGAGAACAGAGTTCCTTTTATAGCTTTTAGATGAAACTCCTGTAAAGTAGTGTTGGGTCAGAGTGAATTCCAACTCTGGAGCAAATAGTACAATTTGGGATAGATTTATATTCACCCAAGATGAAGCGGATGGCTCTAACCTGTCCTGCTGAAATTCAGTATCTTCTGTGAATTTTCATTGATTTGTAAATGGCAGTGCAAGCAACCTAACCAAAAAAGGATTAAAAAATAAACTTCTGCACTTCCTTGCATAAAGCATCTTGGTGGTTAGGGTTAGGAAGAGAGTACATAAAGCAACAGGTCTAGAGCAAGCAAGACTAGAGCTCACTATTTTCTGTTTTCCTAGCCTGCTGCTTTTACTGCTTCAACAAACTGGTTCGCTTCAACTTAGTACTGTAGGATTTTTTTAAGCAATGGAAAGAGAACCATTCCAGCACAGATAAGTGACTCTCATGCATAGAAACACATCACACGTGCACATTCTTGTATTTCTTATAGAAACAGTAAAAGAAAAGGGAAGCAAGTGACAGTGCTGAGAGGGAAAGGAGAATCTGCCCTGTGGAAGGAATAGAAAGGAGGAAACAAAACTATGTAGGGAACAAATAAATGGACAGAAAAGGAAAGAAAAGAATAAAGTCCTAATTACATGTTTTAAAAAAATTAAATTGACCTGGCAAACAGGTACTCTTTTCCTAAAACAATTTCCAAGCAATATGTAATCTTCAGGCAAGGGGATTACATGTAAAAAAAGGGGTGGGGCTTCAATCACCCAATCACAGCCAACATGTTGAGTTTTTGACCTCCCTTGCAGATGTGACTTTTCCCTCTCACCACTGCCACCTGCTTCCCTTTTCTTTTACTGTTTCTATAAGAAATACAAGAATGTGCACGTGTGATGTGTTTCTATGCATGAGAGTCACTTATCTCTGTGAAAAAAAACACATTGAATATATGCAAATTCATTTTATTAAAACATTACAATAATAGGAATCTACCTTTTCAATTCACAGGTAATTTGCCTGAGAGCGGGAGGAATTTTCTATCAGGTAAAAATGTGCAGATTAATCTTCAAAAATATCCAGCCAAAGCAAGAGTGTGTACAGTCATTTGCATCATGGGTGCCTGCAGGGAGAGCAAATGTTAATGTGTGTATCATGATGTAATGATGCAAAACTTGCAACTTACATACTTAATTCTGGATAGGATTGTGTAAAAATTAAGTTTGCGTCATGACACAAGCGTGCGCTTGTCATTTTGACTCGGTGTCAGCTTTCTATGGATACCCTGATGTGCATGAATGCCTATTCACATAATGTTTTCTATTCCTTATAGTGGCTTCTATTCTCAGCCAAAAAAAAAACCAACCTCCACCACCATTCACAGATATTGGGAAGGACCTTTTCTTCCTATTAGTTAAATGTTTTTTATCTTCTGGATGCTGTAGCAGATAAAATTTCCACTTGTCACTTTTATCTTAAACTAGTGTGGAATTCATCTGGCTCTGCTTTTATCTTGTTTCTTTTTATATGATAACCACTGGATCTATCATATCTTGACATTTTAATTATGTGGTCTAAAATAATACCCCAGCATAGTATCTGATTCTGCTGTGAACTGTTTTCCACAGCTCGATGAGATTGTGAGTTTTTGATCCTTTATTTTTAGCTACCTCAATGAGAAGTTCACGTAGGAGGATGCTGCACATCTGTATGCTAGCTATTCCTTTAGCATGATCTCTTAAGATATTAATATGAATTTTCCTTGCAACCGAAGTTCTTGTCATACAGCCTGCATTATAAGCAAAGCTGAGATTTAGAAAAAGAGGAAAATGGATTGATTTAACATGTAGTTGCAAAACTAGCAACTGCAAATACACAGACAGAAGAGACTCCTTTTGGGAAGTGTGTGGCTTAACATTCCAGCTTCCAACCATACTCTTCTATTATACAATCTTGTTAAGAGGGTAGAGTGAACTTTGGGCATGTATGGGAAAACATCGCAGTATTGCAGGGAGTGATATATAAGTAATATATAATAATAAGGGACTGATATATAACGTCTAGTAAATAATGGTAATAGATATGTAATTCTACAAATATGAGACTCAAAGATGTGAAGACAACATGTATAGACAGAAACAAGAAGGCAAATCATTGCCATGGTGTTAATTTATTTTGGTGAAAGAACCGAAGCCAAGTGAAGGCATTAAGATAACTTTGCTTTTTTTTTTTCCTAAGCAGCTGTTTTTTTTTTTAAACTAATTTGTAAGTCAATACTACATCTTCCCACAAAGTCCTACATTATGGACTTCCTACAAGAAGCATGCATAAGATACTGTAGCATATGCAAGCTACACCTTCTTACTGCATTATACCTATCAGTTTATATAAGTAGGCAGCGTTCCATGCAATCATATGTGCATAGAAGTGTTGAAAACCTGTATTGGAATCCGTGCACAGCAGGGCTGAACAGTGTTACAAAAATGCTTGCCGTCTGCTATATAATTAGAAGTCTTTAATACAACACCAGAGCAAACTCAGGGAACATATACAACAATTCCAGGAGATTATCAGTAGATTTTAAAAGCTTTATTTTAGCAACATAAACATCTCACATTCACTCTCAATCATTTGGATTGTACATACCAAAGACACTTACTGTCATTGGCGAGGCAACAAAAGGGCGCAGAAAGTCTCCTTAGAGCATTTTTCAAGATGATTTGATAGGACTTCAAATTTTTCTTTCGTCCAGCTCTCTTTTATATGCAATGCTGGATTAATTTAGCTTGATTGCTGGGTTACCTCAGCATCCCAGATCATGTCATGATCATTTATCAAAGTCTCTTGGTTATCTCTATCCCTTCATAACTTGGCTTGAAATCTGAAATCTGGTTTTTTTTTTCCTTCCCAGCACAGCTTTTTAACCCTTTATTGTCTGGCCATTAATTTATTCTATAAAAAAAAGATGAAAATACTGTTTACCTCAGTTAATGGCTATATTACCATTTAATTCACTCAGGAATTTTTTTATGTTTATGTGCAGCTCTAAGCTCCATCATCTAAAGGTGGAGAGTAAAAGCATATAAATTATGCTCACTTAAATGAGATATTTGCTAAAATATGTAAAGCAGATAATAGTTCTTTAACACTTACTTGAAAAGGATTTTTGCTTTAATGAAGGAGCTGGCCATCTGGTGTCCTCCTACAAAAAAGAATGCCCTGATTTATTTTTTATATTAGAATAGACTTTTTTTTTCCAGTGCAACTTCTTTTATACTTTAAAATAACAAAAAGAAGCCTTCTGCCTAACTAATTTACTTAGTTACCTGTGGCTCAAGGAATCCTGCATTTAAGAATATTTCTAAAAATTAAAAATATTTTGAAATGACTAGTCTCCAAGATTTCTTTATTATTGCAGAAATAGCTTTACAGTCAGAAAGTGTGTGTGTATTTGTAAATTATATATAGTACTGTGCAAAAGTTTTAGGCAGGTGTGAAAAAATGCTGTAAAGTAAGAATGCTTTCAAAAATATGTATT